GGCACTAGATGTTAGGATACCTAGTATAACCATCCAAAGCTAGCCTTTGCCAGGTTTATGCCCATATCTTTGTTCAAGTCCAACTTTTTTCCAGTTTTATGCTGCTTTAGAAATGTAAATCCACAAAAGTTAGGTCTTCTTCAAAAGTTCCGAAAGAAGATGGAAGCGTTGTTGTTGTTTAATAGGAAAAATTCCTTGGGCAGTGGCCCTTCACTCAGCCTTCTTGTCTTCTTATGTCTGTACCTTTAAATTTTTTTTTGCAAAACAAAACGAAAATGAAAAAGGACCACACCCCCATAATTGTTGCGTCAGAAAACAACGACCTCCAGCAAACATCAGAACTTCTGCGTCACCTTAAAGCAGAATAGCCGATAAAAACCAGATAACTGGAAACTCCTAGTTTGGGAGTTCAGATTTCAAAGGAATAGAAAAGAAAAGGAGGGAAAGGTAGATTTTCCTACATTTGGAACTTTTAAGTGAGACGGAAAAGAAAATAAACGAACGGATCTTGAAGGGAAGCCAAGCGCTGCTACACTGTAAAATTTTTTCTAACCAAAACGGGCGGAAAGCGATGGAAAACTGATAAAAGCTTACAAAATTTTTTCAAATTGTCCATTTTATCCTCACAAAGGTATTGAATAAAATTTTATTGATATATATATATATATATATATCCAAAATCATTCCATTTCTAAAATCTCTTTTCTTATCCTTTCCGAAACTCACAAAATCTCTTTTCCAAAATCTCTTCTCTTCATTTCTTATCCTTTCTTTTCTCTCATAACTTAACATTTCTCTTCTTTTCTTTTCTATCCTCAACTCACAAATTCCAAAAACAAAAACAAAAACAAAAACAAAATTTATGGTAAAGTTGGTAATATTATTGATTCCACGGGCAATGGAGGAGGCCCGACCTTGTATTTCTTCTTCGCTGCTGCACTGCTGCTTTTGGTGGGCCCATTACAACTCAAAGAACACTCTATTATGCGACTGAGTTGGGCCGTTGAGCGTGTTGTGTGCTTTCCCCAAATGGTGGGTAATTTTTGGGGTCAAAAACCTCTCTGAAATTTCGGATAATTTTACTTTAACACTCTCAAATTTTGAAAAATCTCATTAACCTTTTTCACTTTAAATTTTTTTATAAAAGCCCATTTCAAAATATAATATTAAAAATATAAAAAACTCTTTAATAGTTTTTGTGTCATTGCTTCGAAGAAAAAAAATCTTAAATTACCTGAAATTATGAATGATTTATAATACTCTTAAAAATAACTTACAATAATTTACAACCATGAGAACACTAGCTGACAATTTGTAAACATTTTTGTGGGAAAGAAAAGTATAATAAGGTAAACCGCCAAAACTATCCTTCGTTTGAACTTTGCAGTTTTCGAGCCCCCACTTTTAAAAGTATGCCTTTTAGCCCCTCATATTTAAGATTTTGTACTTTTTTAATCCTTACACTTCTAAAATGACGGGTTTGATCCTCATATACCCAAAGTGCATTATTTTTCACTCGAAATAGCTAGATTGAACATGTCAACTTCTTGTGATTATCTATATAAAATCCTAAAATAGTCATACAAATTACCATTAGCTTATTTTCAAGACAAATTTGAAGCAAGAAAGTGCCTAAGTTTGCATAATGTCCACCGAAAGCAAAAATGTCATCACTGTTGGATTCTAAATCAATTGTTATTATTCCATGTCCATAAACTTATCAATATGCTCTTTTCAAGGTTTTTTATTTTTTAATTAATTATTATTTATTTTTATTTAAGAATTATATGGATTAGATGTTTTTAGAAGTGTTTTTTGGAGTGGGTAATTGTAACATTAGTATTTGAAATTTTTTTTTTTTTGTGAAAAAATCACTAATCCAAACAGAGGTTAAGTTATCAGGGTCATAGTGATGAACAAAATTGCTAATCGCAGCCTATCATCAACGAGTAGTTAACTATTGTTTAAGATTTGAAATAATTTCAAAAACTTCTCTAAATTTTATGACAATATCACTGTAGCAAACTTACTCTAAATTACTGAGTTCCCTTGAACTTTTGAAAATGTCACTCATCCCCATGTCAGCTAGTAGGGGCCCAATAATGGACATACTAGTGACTAATTGACTATTCTACCCTCATTCCGTATGATTATTGTCAAAATATTTTGACAAAAAAGTATTGACCCTTATTTTTACAACCTTATTTGTACAATCTAAAAATTTTAAAAAAATCTAACATCATTATTGACAAACATGGGGCCATCACATATTTAATTCCAAATCGTGCAACAATTATTGTCAAAATACTTCGGAAGAAGGTTAAATTTGACCCTATTTTTACACAGCATCATTGTTAGCAAAATTGCCATGCAAAATTGACACCAATTTAGCCATAATATTCCAATTGTCCCATTTGTAATACAAAGATTATATTTATTTTACTTTGCATCAATTGTTTTAGTGACTATATTTATTTTGCTACCATCTGCATTGCAGAATGCAATTACTACTGACAAATATAGAGACTCTTGATCCAAAAAAGAAAGGGTTTGAGGATATTCCAAAATTCATGGGTCCATGTAGAATTGTTCCACATTGTCAACTTGGATGGGACAGAGGTAGGGATGGACAAAAATACCTGCTGATTAAAAAACTTGTAGGATCCAATCCAATTCGCTCTGAAAAAAGGATACTTGATTTGCATTATTTGACTAAATCAGAAGAGGGTCGGGTATCCACTTATATGTGGGACGGGTTAGGATCAAAGCATTAAAACCATCCAATATTCAACAAGCAACAAAAGGAAGTGACGCCATAGGAGCACCACAAGTTGACCATAGGAGACAAATCTCCCGCAAATACCCGACTTGCTCCGCATATATTTTTTCAATTTTATGTACATCTACAAATTATTATTTTTAGAACTAAGTAATTTTGTTAAGCAAATTACACTCCAAATATGAGCAACTATAATTTGTTTATAATCATTTGTAGAGGCAATGATCTTATTTTCTAAAAAAAAAAGTTTAATTGATGTCAAATATACATAAAAAAGGGCAATGCTTATAACAATTTTCATTAGTTTTGGATTCTTTATTTTTTCTTGTATTCTCTTTGCATGTTTGTTTCTTGGCATGAAACTTTTTTTGGGTAAAATCTATATTGAATCTTTGATGAATATGTAAAATATAAAAATAAATTAGTATAAATTAATTTTTAAAAAATTAAATAATACTATCATCTCTAGGAAGCAAATCCAAGATACGTGATGTCTTTCACGTCAAGCAACACGCATCAGAAGCATGCAAAATGGCAAAATGCCAGAAACTAACCACAGCCGGTTCTAACAAGGCACAGTCAACCAGAAAATGGCTTGCACTAAGGCAACCAACAGAAACTTGCAGATGCTATATTACTTTTAACACGTTACCAGAAAGGCAAAAACATACGCCCAAAGATAAAAGAGATAATTGTTGGTTTTTTGGGGGCATAAACTAAGAAACAACACCTTAGTGTTGAAAAAAAAACTTATAAGAGACTTGTAGTGAATGTGGAAAATGAGTTTATATTTTACATTCATCAATTCACTATTTATAGTGATTACATGAAACAAACTAACAAAATATCCAACTAACAATTATCCTAAAAATCTCAACAAAATATAATATTTTTCTACTAGCAAATCTTAGCTAAAATATTTGTTAACAATCAACATGATCTTTGGTTAACAAATATCCCTTATTCTTCTAATAACTAAATTATTTTGATATCAAACACAATCTAGCAAAATCTGTAGGAGAAGTTGGCATATCTCAACACTCCTCCTTGCCACTTTTGCTGCAGATTTTGAATTGTCTTCTCAAATCTTTGAATCTTGTTTTGGACAAGGCTTTTGTAAGAAATTCTGCAATTGATGATTAGCCTTGCAATGAACTTCTTCCTTTGGATTTTTATGCAAGCTAAATATTAGTCTTGCAACAAACCACTTCTTTTGTCTTCTCATGCCAAACTCCACATAAAAAATGATTTTTTTTTGATGTTTTCAAATAACTTTCTCATAGGTTTAAAATGGAACATCCTTTGACGATATTTGAACCTATACAGAAAATATGAAATTCTGCATGGTTCTTCATTTTGTTATCACCATCAAAATCTGTAGACTCAAAAACAGAAATGTTATAATCTTGATAAATATCAGGAATCAATTTGATACTTCCTGACTTATCAATGATCTCCTCCTGAATTTTTTCAGGATCTGAATTCTTGATTTCATCATCATGTTCCACTTTAGAATTGTCAAAATCTGACCAATTCATAGTGAAACTTTTTCTTTTTAATTTAATTGAGAATAATTTATTCTCAATCAAATCATTAGCCTATCCTTGTGAAAACGGCATCAAAAACTGATATGTGAATGCTGGTTTTGGATCTCTGTCTAACTGCAAATCTATGGTCTCTAATTTATGTATCCATCAGCTCTTCAAATGCTGGTGAAACAAAATTCGTTTCCACCACATCCCGTAGATCATTGACTACCAAATAAGTCCAAAATTTTATGGCCCAAATTTGGTAAGTTTCACCACTAAAAGTTGAAACATTTGACAAAAAGTTCTTTCCTGTCATGGCTTTGAACTTATAAAGGATCCTCACCAATGCATCACTCTCAAAAAAAAAAAAAAAGACTCAGGCCTTTAAGATATAGGCTCTTGATACCACGTTGTTGGTTTTTTTGGGGCATAAACTAAGAAACAACACCTTAGTATTGAAAAAAAAGCTTATAAGAGACTTGTAATGAAGGTGGAAAATGAGCTTATATTTTAAATTCATCAACTCACTATTTATAGTGATTACATGAAACAAACTAACAAAATATCCAACTAACAATTATCCTAAAAATCTCAACAAAATATAATCTTCTTCTACTAGCAAATCTTAGCTAAAATATTTTTTAACAATCAACATGATTTTTGGTTAACAAATATCCTTATTCTTCTAATAACTAAAATTATTTTGATATCAAACACAATCTAGCAAGATTTGTAGGAGAAGTTGGCATATCTCAACAATAATGCGATCCTTGTCAGGGGAAACGAGATACAATCATCTTCCCAAAATGCCATTACAAACTATGCGACAAGGCCCAACAGACATCATAAACATTGAAATAATTCAGGGTAAGAAATGGCTCCACATATAGGGAAAGTACTACCAAAATGCTGGAAAGGGAAGGTATGCTCCAACTGTTAAGCAAGCTGCAAGTCAGTCATATACATCTCAGTCCCCTTTTTAGAGTTGCCACATAGCAAGCACAGTTTTTCCTGTACTGCATATTTGATACCCTACCGCAAGCTTCAATCAATCCAGCAGTAGATGGGAGGTCCAGCATAGTTCCAACAACAGATTGTAGCTTGGATTGTAGATGCGGCACACCATTGCACGTTTTGTTAACTTGAGATGCAGAATGAAAATCCTGGCAGGCTCGCGCAATGCATAGTTGCTTGAGATGGAAATTCAGCACAGCGCTGCACACTTTGTTCACTTGAGTAGCAGACCCGAAATGCTGATTGGGTCTCACAGAATGCGAAGTATGAAAGAATTTTCTGGAAGACCCTCGAAGGCAGTTACTCAAAGGTACCACAGCATGCTGATTACAGATCTCACCAGTTGAGGATTGCTTATGCAAGACAAGAAGCAAAAGTTTAGCTAGAGAAGTCTTCAAATGTCAAGAGGGAAAATTCAATCAGAACTCATGGTGCAAATAAAGACTTACAGTAGCATCTGTCCTGTAGGAAATTTGATTGGTAGAATTATTGACAAATGATTATGTGTTCAGCTTTAAAGTTGTCGTTTTCCTTAATTTTCTAGTCATAAATGACTGCAGTATACATTCTGATATGGGAAAAGGATAATAGTTTAAAATCACGTCATTATCCACTATTCACACCCTATATCTGTGAGATGAAACCTAAATCTTGCATAACATTGCGAACCCAAAGTTGCATTGCTAAAACCATTTCAAAACTTTTACTATTCCCAACCAAAACACATGAGACGAGAGAAAGAGAGAGGAGGAGGAGCAGGAGGACTGCTAACACCATTTCAAAAGTTTCGCTTCTTGTTACACCACTTTTACCATTCCCAACCAAAATGTACAAAACGAGAGAGAAAGACAGAGAGAGAGAGAGAGAAATTAACCATTCCCAACCAAAACGTACAAAACAAGAGAGAGAGGAGGAGGAGGAGGAGGAGGAGGAGGAGAAACACCAAATTTTAAACAAATAATGGCAATGAAGCTAATTGAGGCATGAGATAACTGATACAGTCATGCAGAGAGTTTCAAGCTGCATTCAAACATTCAACATTAACTATGGTCCAGGAGAGTTCTCAATGTTAAAGTAGTGCAAGCCACTGCATGAAAACTAGAAATATGTTTCACATACTCTGTGATAACCCATTGTGTTGCCAGCTGAGAACCTTCTCCCCGCGGATTGATATCTGTTATAAATCCTTTGTATACCTTTCTGGTCTGCATTATAATATGATTAAAGAGATTTAGCCGAAGCCTTTAAGCCATTCATTTCTGAAAAGAATGAAGAAAAGAATTGTTGCATAAGTTAAAAAAAAAAAAAAAATTCACCTATGAACGTCGAGTAATGATCAAACTGCCATGGCATCCTGCAAAATTTTTTATACTCAGCTCATTAACTAGAAAAAAATAAACGCATAAGAGACACCAATCTGAACACTCACAGCAAATATAATAATGTATGAAATGCTTGGAATTGAGGATGTATAGAGGTTGTATTGTTTCCCTGGAGCACGAACCCATGCTTGCATACAAGCTAGCCTCAGTATTGTTTTTCAAACAGAACTTGACAAGAATGCTTTCATTTTTAAGAATTGCAACCCAAATTTAAACTTATCTTAATGGTTGTTTTATTCTACCAAGTGCCCAGATCAATAGACTAGGAGCTCTTATTTTGTATCCCACCCATTTGATATCATATTTCTTCCCTACCACTAAACATATAAACTCTACTTTGTATTCAAAATTCTCAGTAAAATACTATCACTTAAATTGCTGAATGGTTCAACTCTCTCAGTCATACACATGAAGCTTCTCTCTCTCTCTCTCTCTCTCTCACACACACACACACACACAGAACAAGTGCAGACAAGCACTTTGCCTTCTTAAGTTGTATTTCCTACATACATGCACCCCCTATCCAAAACACACACATACATAGACACAACAAAATTTTTTTCAGTCAGCTCATTGAGTAGGAAATAAACACATAACAGAAACCAATCCGAACACACAAAAGCAAGGATGATAACATATAATGATTGGAATTGGGGATGCATAAAGGTTGTATTGTTTCACTGGACTTGGAACCCAAGCTTATACATACGCCAGCCTCAGTATCATTTCGCCTACACAACTTGACAAGAATGCTTTTATTTTTAAGTATTGCAACCCAATTTCAACTGATGTTAAGTTTGTTTGATTCTATTGAGTGCACAAAACAATAGACGAGGAGCTCTTCATATCCCACCCATTTGATATCATACTTCTTCTCTACCACTAAACACATAAACTCTGCTCTGTATTCAAAAGTTTCAGCAAAACGCTGTAACTTAATTTGCTGAATGGTTCAACTCTATGAGTCATACACAGACGCACTACAAACAGAAAGACAGACACACACTCTTGTCTATTTATCTAGAACACACACACAAAGAGAACAAATTACTCCTTTTCCAAAATATGTACATGCACCCCTCTTAGATGCATAAGAGACAGATCAAATACAATCTCATGTTTTCAGCTGTTGAAGTGTATGCAGCTTAACTTTGGGAGATGCAAGATACAGAACATCAATAACAAATATGTTTACACTGTAATCCAGCCACAGGCAAAAAGAAATCAATGAGGCATGTAAAATTTAGAGAGCACTTGAGAACAAAACCTTTTTGTCTCGTCTAAAAGCTTAAACTTCAAGTCAATGCCTGCCTCCTCAAAGATCCAAGCAAGTTCTTTGGCCACGTCTACCGTTGACGGCTATCATAAGGAAGAGCAAGTTAGAAATGAATATTGGAAATCAAAACAGTTAAAAGATGAGCTAGAATAGGCAATGAAGAATGAGACCATCCATGTCTTGTATTTAACAAAACGATTCATCCCTGCCAACCCCCACCTCATTTTTCCAAATTGAAGCCCAGCGACCCATTCTTTATGCAAAATATAACTTAAATTCAACAAAATACTCCTAGGGAAAAATCATACTACAATATGAATATAATCGTTAGTAAGTAAAATTGGTTACGACGTACTACCATTAATGTGATTTCAGTTAAGTATCAGCAAGATGTTAACTTGCTTGACACAAAATGAATAGATAAAAAGGCAAGATACAGCTTAATGAGGAAACCAATCAAATACACTAAAAAGTTGAAAAAGATTTCTGCCATCGAAACTGCAAACACATGATTAATATTTCATTTTCCCATTTCTTCTTTACCCCGTTGATGGAGTAGAAAATATCAGAAGCAAAATTTCTCCATCACTGATTGTGTCTCCTTTCTGGTGATTAAGTTGACATATTAAGAAGTATGGCACAAAAGCAACGGTGTAACCATTCCAATTGATTAGACATTACAGAACTAAAACGAAGATGGGGCCATTCCATCTCTAGCTTAAGATGAAAATCATTAGAACTGAATTTCAATAACTCAGTCACATATCATGAATACACAAACAAAGAAAATGTAGTATTAAGCCAAAGACTGAGTTGATCTAACTACAAGCATGTAGAACAAGACGACATAAGAGAAAGCTCATACCTCCTTTCGCTCCATTTGAAGATAACCTGTGAGTTTGTCACCAATCCGCTCAAATATTTCTAATAACAACAGAATTACCTCAACCTCCATCTTCTTTGTTTCGCACTGTTGTGCAAATCCTGCATCTTCAATGTGATACACTGACCATAATGAAACTTTAGTCAGGGATGCAATCTCCGTCGAAAGAAAATCGTGGATTTTTTTACGTCCTTCTGCACCAGGCATAGCATCTTCACGAGCTACCATCAACAAGGCTGCCACCTCGAACACTCTCCTTTCTTTCACATACTTAAAGAACTCCTGATCAATTTTGTTGGTCTTCTTTGCGAGCAACCTCAGATTTTCAAGAGACCTTCTCTGTTACAGGGATTGAATTGGTGAGACACCACAATAATCCTCCACTTAAAAACCAGTTAATTGCATCCAGACCTCCAGGAATTTGTCATATAGATTTATATCACTCCCAGGGATTCAAAAAACAGCAACCACAAAGTAGGCCCCTTTTGCTTGAGAGCAAACTAATAACCCCCGACCCCATCTCTTTTACAATGTTTGGTGCCTTTAAAGATTACAAATTACTAAAGAACGCTGAACTACAACATTTCTCCATTTTAAACAACTCCAAACATATAAATACACAACCATACGTCCTCTTTCTCCTCAAATTATATAGGATACCTATGAAGGCTGTAGAACATCTTTGTATGTACAAAGAAAAAATAAACATGAATAAGCCCCAACACCCAAAAAAGAACATAAAAAATTTGTTTTCGATGCATAGAAAGATTGTGCAGCAATACAGAACAAACCTAATATTAAAACTTGCAACCACAAATACAGCTCACAAATGAAAGAATATACAGCTATTTACCCCACAAAACAAAAAAAAAACGATATTGTCCCAGAATGTGGTAGCACATGGGAGAGGGCAAAAAGGGCCATTAAGGGAAAAGTAGAGAGATTGAATTCAGGAAAGAGTCCAGCTGGAAAACTTTGTATTGTTAAAAGAGGCATGAAGAAGAAAGAGTTTTTATTTTCGAGATAATAGGTGTATGGCAGTGTGATCATTGGATGGGGATATGAACAGTAGAGTAAAAGTAGAAACAAAAATTCCAAAAGAGTTTTTATTTTGGAGATAATAGGTGTAAAGAAACTACTACGGGGCAGTGGTGATCATAATGGGGATATGAATGGTGGAGTAAAAGTAGAATCAAAATTTTCAGTCTATTATATTTCTCTTAATCCATTTTATACTATAGGGTATTGAAGGTGGCATGTCGATATCTGCTTCATGAATCTCTCTGCATAATGCTTTTCCTTAAATATTTTGTAAAAGTTTCTTTAAATCTTCTATATTAGGAGCTAATCTGCACTTTAACACTTCTGTTCACCTACTCAAATGAAAATAAACCAGCACAGTGTCAAATGCAGAACAAACCAGATATGGATAATTAAGATAATAAAGCAACTTGAAGACAAAGTCTGGGCCCGCTGGAATTGGGTTAGCCATCCACAATGATAATTCCTCATACCGATATGAATCATATTTCTTAGCCTCCAGTAAAATCCACTCAGGCATGCTATAATCCGATCTGTAACATGTAAAGGGGCAAAAATGAAAACATCATACTACAAAAGAAGAGAATAAATTACAAAGCATCATCCTTTTACAGCAAGGAATGAAGAGCTTATACCGCATGCTCTCAAGGGTAACATGGAGTGGCAACACGCTCCTCATATGATTAACATCAACTCTGAGGTTTGGATCAGCTCCATTTTTGAGAAATAATTGGGCAATCTTAGGTGCATGAAACAGTGCTGCTTTATGCAATCCAGGGAGAAGTATACCATCCTTGCACGGAACAGCATCATTGGTAAAAATAATATCCTTGGTTTCTCCATTGAGCACAGCAGTTACACAATTGACAGCATCATAAGAAAACATGTTATCCACAGCCCAACAAGGCATTTGGGCTACCCAATCAATCACATCTACTTCGTCATATTCGGTGTCTTTGTTATCAGTGTCATTCATAAAAGCGACAAAATGGTCTTTCTTGTCGCGATTGAGAACAAAATCAAGTACTTCACGCCGTAAAGGAAAACCATTGAGGATATAATCTTCTTCTTGTTCATCATCAAAGCTGGGTTCTTCACGGTAGATGTGGATGGGCTGTTTTTGGTTATTCATTTGTTTTTTCAAAAACAAAGAGTAAAAAAGAGAAAAAGGATAAGCATTCTATGCTTGGGCTGAAAGAAAATACAAACAAAGAAGAACATCACAATCCATACACTAGGAAAAAAGTAGCTCATTCAGAAAAGAGTTAAACTGACCAATTAAGCACATGAACATTAATCTTCCCCAGATACATTTGAAGTTGCATGTATCTCTAATACATGCGGAACAAATGTCAAACTAGCATCTGGTGATTAGAAAACCACTTGTAGGAGCATATAACTTCAAGTATTACGAACACATGCACAATGAAAATCACTAAATATATTCAGTCTGTGGTCCTGATTTTGGACTCGAGGGAGGAATTCAAATAGGATTTTGAATCAACAGGTTCGAATTACAAGGTAATTGAAATCCGTTCTTTGGCAAAGAATTACATAGTATGAAGAAAATGTACAAAGCACCAAAAATAGTTAGGCCATTTATTTTAAAAAATAAAAAATAAAAACTTTTGGGGCTAAAATCCAATTTTGCATTTTTTTAATTTTTTTTTCTTTACCAGCAACAAGTTCTGCTCTTTATCATTTCCAGCAATATATGCCACCGCCCGTTATGGCCATCGTCCTTTGCTGGCAGCACACACGAACTCGCAACATGTGGGCCCTCAACACGCACTTGTAAAATTCTCACTAGTATTTCATTTTTATTTTCCGGAGACGTGACCGGAGATAGTCAGAGGAATCTCTGACTCCTTGGCTCCACACAAAAAATTGATGACAGAGGGGCTACATACAGAGGTGTAGAGAACGGATCTTTTTGAACTTCTGTTGAAACTTTTACTTATGTTATTGTTTAACTTGTTTTTCAAATGGAGTCAATCATTTAGTGGCCCAGAGTTTAGGAATTTGCTGTACGTTAGAGTCTTTCAGTTATGATCTAGTCAGCAGATTTAGTGGCTTAATGGTCTAGTCTTTAGGAGTAGTGGGGTTATGGAGAAGGTGCCAGATATGGGACCTGATCTTTAGGGATTTCAGTTGTGCGTTTTGCCTATTTAAAGGCTCTAAAGGTTATGATTAAAGATGACTTTTTGGCCACGGTACTACTGTTATCTTTTCTATCTCTTATCGATAGTATCAGAGATACAAGATTCCTGAGACCTGAGAGTGAAACACCTGAAATTATCTACTCCTCCCCACTACCCTATCCAAATGGCCAATGATTCAAATTTTATGCAAGCCGCCATCTCTCGCTTTGATAGTCACTATGACCACTGGAGCATGCTCATGGAAAATTTTTTACGGTCCAAAGAATAGTGGTCAGTGGTTGAATCCGGAATTCAAAAACCACCAGCAGGTGCAATCGTGACAGATGCTCAGCAAACAGACATTGAAGCTAGAAAGGTCAAAGACTTGAAAGCGAAGAACTATCTCTTCCAGGCTATTGATCGTCCCATCTTGGAGACTATTCTTTGCAAAAATACATCCAAGGATATTTGGGATTCAATGAAGAAAAAATATCAAGGCTCTTCTAGAGTGAAACGCGCGCAGCTTCAAGCCTTGAGGAGGGATTTTGAAGTTTTGCAGATGAAGGATGCAGAATCTGTTACAAGCTTTATTGGAAGGACGATGGAAATTGCAAATAAAATGAGATGCTATGGAAAAGAGATTAAAGATGTTAACATAGTAGAAAAAATTCCGCGTTCTATGACGTGAGAATTTAAATATGTTGTTTGCTCAATTGAAGAGTCAAACGACATAGATGACCTTTCTCTTGATGAATTGCAGAGCTCCTTGTTAGTCCATGAACAGAAGATGAATCGAAGCTGGACAGCAGAGGAACAAGCTTTAAAAGCTTCTACCAACACTCGCTCCAACAACTCAAGAGGAAGAGGCAGAGGCCGAGGAAGAGGAAGGGGAAATCGAGATCATGACAAATCTAAAGTAGAGTGCTTTAGATGTCACAAATATGGTCATTATGTTTCTGAATGTGTCAATGAGCTGCCAAATTATAAAGAAAGAGAGGAAAACTCAAATTTTGCGGAAGAAACGAATGAACCAGAAACTTTGTTGATGGCTGTCCATGAAGAAAAAAAGATTGAGTCGAATATTTGGTATGTCGATACAGGCTGCAGCAATCACATGAGTGGAAATAAGTCTTCTTTTTCGAATCTAAATAAAAGTTTTCACTCTACTGTCAGTTTTGGTGACTTCTCTACTGTGAAAGTGATGGGAAAAGGTGATGTTAAGATACATACTAAGAATGGCCTTGTGAAAACTATTTCTAATGTGTTGTATGTTCCTGATCTGAAAAGTAATTTGTTGAGTGCTGGTCAGTTGCAAGAAAAGGGGTATGTCATTACAATTAAGAAAGGCACTTGTGAAATTTATGATCCTGATAGAAGAAATCCTATTGCGACTGTCCAGATGAGTTCTAACAAATTATTTCCAATGAAAATTGAAAGCATTCAATCTTGTTTGATGGCTGAAGTAAAGGACCCCTCATGGTTGTGGCATTTTCGGAAAACCATGGTGATAGGGCTTCCGGAAATTATTGTTCCCTCCCTAGTTTGTGAAGACTGTGTTGTCAGCAAACAACATCGTTCTCAGTTTCCCAAAGGAAAGTCTTGGAGAGCAAAGGATGTGTTAGAGCTGGTGCATTCAGATATTTGTGGCCTAATAAACCCATTGTCTAATGGAGGTAAAAGATACTTAATTACCTTCATTGATGATTTTTCAAGGAAACGTGGGTTTATTTTTTACAGGAAAATCAGAAGCTCTTACTATGTTTAAAAGGTTCAAAGCTCTTGTGGAAAATGAAGCAGACAAGACTATTAAGTCTCTTCGAACAAATCGGGGTGGCGAGTATTGCTCAAAAGAATTTGAAGATTTTTGCATGCAACATGGCATTCGAAGAGAACTTACAGCTGTATATACACCACAACAAAATGGTGTATCGAAGCGGAAGAACAGAACAATTCTTGATATGGTGAGAACTCTGTTAACAAGAGGAAGAGTTCCAAAGACCTTTTGGCCGGAGGCTGTAAACTAGAGTATTCATGTTTTAAACAGAGTCCAACTTTTGCTGTTCAAAACAAGACTCCTGAAGAGGCTTGGAGTGGAAGAAGACCAGCTGTAGATCACTTTAGAATCTTTGGTTGCCTCGCTTATGCCCACATCTCGGATGTGAAAAGGAAAAAACTTGATGACAAAGCTGAGAAATGCATCTTTCTTGGTGTAAGTGAATCCTCCAAAGCCTATAAGTTATTCAACCCACTGACGAAGAAGATTGTGACCAGCAGGGATGTTGTTTTTGAAGAAGAGAGCACCTGGGATTGGGATGGACAGCAGCCTAAACAAGTCCTTTATGATGATGATGCTAAACAGGAGCAAGTTCCAGCACTTGTCATGCCACAAAACTCTTCAGATACAACTCAAACAGCCACTGGAATTTCACAACCAGTTGCTGAAGTAAATGAAAAAGGAGCCCAGTCAGTTGGTCAAGTTAGAAGAAGGCCTGCTTGGATGGAAGATTATGAGGTAACTGGGTTAAGTAATCCAATTACTCATTTTGCTTTGTTCGCAGATTGTGATCCTACAACTTTTGAGAGTGCCGTCAAAGAAGAAAAATGGCAAAAGGCAATGGATGATGAAATCAATTCAATTGAGAAGAATGACACTTGGGAGTTGTGTGATCTTCCTAAGGGGCACAAAACCATTGGTGTCAAATAGGTCTCCAAGACAAAGCTAAACAAAAACGGCGGTGTTGACAAGTAGAAAGCACGCCTGGTGGCAAAAGGATACAAGCAGCAGTACGGGGTTGATTATACAGAAGTATTTTCTCCAGTTGCAAGACATGACACGATCAGATTGGTGGTTGCATTAGCAGCGCAAAATTCTTGGCCTATTTTCCAGCTAGATGTCAAATCAGCATTCTTGCATGGGTATTTGGAGGAGCAGGTATTTATTGAGCAACCCCCTGGCTATATTAAAGTTGGGAATGAGAATAAAGTGTTCAGACTGAAAAAGGTTCTTTATGGATTAAAGCAAGCTCCGAGGGCTTGGTATAGTCGAATTGAGACTTACTTTCTTAAAGTTGGTTTTATAAAATGTCCTTATGAGCATACAATGTTTGTTAAGATTGAAGATGGGAGGAAGCTTCTCATCGTTTGCCTGTATGTTGATGACCTTATATTTACTGGAAATTGTGATACCATGTTTGGTGAATTCAAGAAGTCCATGATGAATGAATTTGAAATGACTGATCTTGGTTGGATGCATTATTTTCTTGGCATAGAAGTAATGCAATCAGATGATGGAATTTTTCTATCTCAAACGAAATATGTTGGAGAAATTTTGAACTGATTTCAGATGAAGGATTGCAATTCCGTAAGTACTCCAATTGAATGTGGCGTGAAGCTACACAAAGATCATGATGGAAAGAAGGTTGATAGCACACTCTACAAGCAAATTGTAGGCAGTTTAATGTATCTTACAGCAACAAGGCCAGATATAATGTACTCTGTGAGTTTAATCAGCAGATATATGGAAAGTCCCACGGAGTTGCATTTGTTAGCCGCCAAGAGAATCCTTCGTTATTTGCAAGGAACTCGAAACCTAGGGATATATTACAAGAAGGGTGAAAAATCTAACTTAGTGGGTTATACTGATAGTGATTATGCAAGAGATCAAAATGATGGAAGGAGCACTTCTGGCTATGTTTTTATGCTTGGAACAGGTGCAATCTCCTGGTCATCAAAGAAGCAACCAATTGTCAACTTATCCAGTACAGAAGCTGAATTTGTTGCAGCTATGGCTTGTGCTTGCCAAGCCATATGGCTGAGAAGAATACTTGAGGAGTTGCAGTTCAAGCAATGTGGAGCTACTATAATACTATATGATAACAACTCTACAATCAAGTTATCAAAGAATCCAGTGCTATACGGAAAAAGCAAGCACATTGATGTGAAGTTTTATTTTTTGAGAGATCTTTGCAAAGATGGAACTGTTGATTTGATG